GTCACCTACACCCCTGCACAGTGACTCACCTTCCAGAGAAAGTGCCTGCTCACCTAAGCAAAGCTGCCTGGAAGATGACTAAGGCGGCTATCAAATGCAGTCTGTGGAGCCAACCGGTCACTGAGCCAGTTCCAGACACGGCGCTCACCTCCAGCCTGAAGTCAGGATGGGAGCTGCACTCCAGCCTGCTGGTTTCATTTTCATCTGAACATGAGGCTTGACATCCGGTGATCTATTTTTTCTAAAAACTAGGTTCACTTTAGAAATGACTTTTTGGCCATCAAGACAGCTTCCCCGAGAGAAAACAAAATGTTATTTAAAGGGAACGTTGGCCTGTTGGAAGCTTGTATTATTGTTTTGTAGGAAGACGGGGAAAACAAGAATTTAAAATCTAATACAAAACTGCTATTTTCTCCTTGTGTGATTGAAAGAGAAACCTGTGACCCTCTGGCTGCCGATGCAGGGCCCCCAGATGTGCCTGGTGCCAGGGATGAGTTGACAAAGACAGAAGCAGGAGGGGGAGGGCACGTGGTGGTGGGGAGCTCACTCTGCAGAAACAGACTCCCCCTTGCAGTGCCCCCAGAAGAACAAGTCCTTGTTGATGTACATACTACAGAGTATTTGCCTTTTTTTTTTTAACCTCCAAGGTTAAGGCTGGGGCCTACCTGACCCCATGGGAGACAAGAGGGAGCCCTAGAAAGGCCTGGCTCAGAGTCCTAGGAGGGCCAAGAGTGGCCATAGCTTTAGGAGTGCCAACACTGACCCTCTGGGTGGGGCCTGGACCTCTTGGGCTCATGAGCGTGGAGAGAGCTGTATTGAGTGTAAGAGAAGGCGAATGTGCCGGTTTAGACCCCCAGACAATCGGAAAGGTCAAGCAAACAAACCATAATAAGGCTACAAAGTGCCATCACTGGCTGCCACGCAACCTCAAGGGGTATGTCAGGAGGGGAGGGGGTAGAGGCGGGAAGGCAGCAAGAAGGAGAGAGGACCTTTAAGCGAGCTGTCAAGAAGGCGCGGAGGCCGCTAAGGCAAGAGGACTTTGGTCCACACTGACACTCAGGGCCTTGGACAAACTGGATGTCCTATGGAGACAAAGACTGCCCCGGTGGGCCATCTGGTCCTTCCTGACAGCACCTTACAGAAGACAGGTCTGGTCAGCGCAGTTATTGGCAATCACAGCACAACTGCGCTCACCGGCACCAGCATCAGCACGACCTGACCAGGACATTTGCGGCTGCATGTGCTGAGTCTCATTCTGTCCCAGGCACAGCTCTGTGTCTTCTCTGTTCCGGGCACAGCTCAGTACTTCACCTGCACGCTCTCATTTTCTACACAAGACAACCCCCATGAAAGCCAACTCTCAGACTCTTATTTTCACCTGAACAGACATCATTTTGTTCAATGCTGGCCGGGACTTTTTCTTGTCCGCTTTTATATATAACGAAATGACATTGAATAAGACGTTATTTGAGGACCTGCTTTATTTGCTATCTGCCATTTTGCTTAGAGACACAAGAACCCAATGATCCCATTTACACACCACAAGGCAGACAGTGGCAGATGTGGGCCTGACCCAGCACTGTCTGCCTTGGCCACCGACGCCCGCCCTGTGACACCCCCCGTGACACCCTCCCATTGCTCTACTGCGCTGGCCAAGCAACTCTGCCTTAATTTCTGCACCTTCTGTATGATGGGGATGAGCAGGCCCATCCAGAGGCTATGTGATTCATCTTTGTTTTTCAGTATCATCATCATGAGTAATCAATACCAATAATTCAGTGTTCACGACACTTATTAGAATGAATTAATAACTATCATAAATGGATAAAGCAGCTACCCTAGTTTAGTTACACTCAAAATCAACATATTTTGGAAAAAAAGACCTAACTTATCATTTCATAAGTAAGTCAGAACAAGCAGTGGGCTGGATGTCAAGCAACGTGGGTTTAGTTTCTGGGCACAACACAGGTTCCCCGCATAATCACATCCACTTTATTTCTTCTTAATAGCTTTACTTTCCTGACCTTTTCCCGTCGCTAATGAATAGTGCGAGAAAATACCAAACAAACCATAATAAGGCTACCAAGTGCCATCACTGGATGCCATGCAACCTCAGGGGGTATGTCAGGAGGGGAGGGGTTAGAGGCGGGAAGCCAACAAGGAGAGAGGACCTTTAAGCGAGCTGCTAGGGCGCTGAGGCCTCTGTGGCAAAAGGACTTTGCTCCACACTGACAACTCAGGGTCTCAGATAAACTCAGAACTAAAGACCCCCTCCCCCACCCCGGCCAACACTCTAAGCTTCACTCACCACCACCGAAATGTCCTACTGCACAATCTGCCTGTTGTTGGTCTTCTGTCGCGAATCTGCTTTCAACATTTCAGTCAGCAACACTAAGGACACGCAAAGTCTTTGCACGTGCCTCACAACTCACTCGCCCTGCCCTGGGGGGTGCTCCCCCACTCTGTTCCCTTCCTGGGGTTCTCAGTGTGCACAGCCCAAGAGCTGGCTTAGCCCTCAAGTGGCTCAAATCCACTGACATGGAATTTTCCCCCTTCCCGCCAATTTCACACTGGTACCATCAAAAGTGCCCCCAGGGCTCAGATATTTCCAGTTTAACTGAAATACTAAAATAGGGCAAACAGGAAGCATCAGACACAACTGCGGTAGTGACTTATTAATCACGAAAGCAGAATTTTAGTTGCATTTTAACCTTTTGCCAGGAAAAAAAAAAAAACAAAAAAACACAGCCTTGTGATGATGGGAGCCCTTAGTAACACATGCTGCTCTGTGGGGTGAGAGGACTTAAACTTTGGGTTTAGGACTGAATTAGATTTTCAGATTTCTGAACTAGCCCCCCAGAAAGAACACCCGCCAAGCCAACCAACATGACTGTCAATTCTTCATCGAGGCGGCAGGCCTGTTAGGAAGGCTCATGTGTTGTCCACAGAGACAGGAAAAAAAATAGGAAACGAAAAATGACTCCACAGGTCAAAGTGATAGGACGCTTTAAGAGGGTGCCAAATCGGAGAAAACAACCCTGGAGGAAACCTCTACCTCGTTCACATCTCTACAGATCTCTCATCACAACCTGGTCAGGGACAAATGGTGATCATGGACCCCAAAATCACAACAGTTGCCTAGAGCTGGACAGCCAATCAGGGCAAGGCTACCTCTCAACATTAAATGATTTACAAACACTCCAAGCAGATCACAAAGGAGTCAGTGTTCAACAGGAGAACTAAAATGAGGAACCAAACCTCCATCTGTTGAGACGAAACAGCCAACCAGACATTTTTTGTTTAATAGACGAAGGCTCAGTTGGCAAGGTCTCTGTCTGCGGTGCCGCTCCCACAAACCCTAACAGACAATTACCAGGGGCAAAAAAACCCCTTTAGAACGGCTCCTGGTAACCTGAAAACAGTCAGAAGATGACCTAAAGGATAATAGACCGCTCATAGCGGTCTGATTTCACAAGAGTGCTGGAACATATACCTGGCTACTTATTGCTAACAGCCAAGTCTAAGACTATTCCTTTTATTTGAGATCTCTGGGAAGTTCACCACATCCTTCAAAATGAATGAGGATGCCCTGAAGCTGTCCTAAGAACTCTGAGGTCTGGCATTGCTGCACCAAAGGAACTGACGTTGACACTGGTTCAGAAGCATCCTGGGTACATCCGAACACATCCTAAGTGAGACAAACACTTGTACTCTTCTTTTAAGAGCGCAAACGCCTCACCACTTTCCCTGCCTTCCATCAGCCAAGTCACAGCATGTGGTCCAGAGTAAGATGCAGCAAGATTCCCCACCCTGAGTCCTAGCATTGGGCAACATATACCCACCCCCCCACCTGCCTCAGGTGCTCACCTATAAAACTGGAAAGTACGATCTATCTTAGCACACCGACATGTGAAGGGAAAGGTTACAGGTATAAAGACACCAAGTGAAAACACATCACTTAAGATACTATCTCCCTCTAATCTTTCAGAAAGACTGTTTGCAGTCAAGGGGTTTTCAACATTTTTCCTAGAATGAACTAGAGGTTGTTATTTTGTACCAACCCTGCCTTTCATCATTTAATTTCACTTGCTCTTATTTAAAGTCTTTAACCAAGCCTCTGATGCTCACTCTCCATTAAACACAAAATATCTTACCTCTCTATCGCTGATTTCTGAATCTTTCCTTCATCCCCTCTCTTGCCCACACCCCACCTCCCTCCCCAGTCCACTCTTTAGGATTGAGAGCAACATTTAACTTCAATTAGGAAAGAAAACTGCAGTTTCCCATCCCCAAGGAGGCTCCTGGGCAGGTGGGGACTCTCGCCTGTACAAGCGTTCTCTTTCTGCTTGGTGCCCGGTGGCTGCGGGCTGCCAGAGCCACGATGGGCTTCCAAGGCCGACAGATAAAGTCCCGAGTCTAGCGGACAGAATTACAAGGGCTGGCCCGGGAGGCAGGAGGATGCAGTGAATGGCCAGCACTTCCCAGCTGGGTGCCAAGGGCAGGCTCCTTCTCCCCACTCGGGCAGTGTGACCCGAAAACTTCCCAGGGAAGGCCAAACATTTCGCTGGCAGGACAGATGGGAGGGTGCACTTGTGCAGAAGGCACCTTGCGCCCCGTGAGAGTCCCCCTGGGGGGCACCCAGGGAACGGAGGAGGCGGGGCAGGCCCGGCGGAGGGGCGGCTGAGCGCAGCGGAATGGGGTGCCGGGGAAGGGGAAGCGAGGAGCCCTTGCGCGCGCTCCGGGCGAGCGTGTGGCCTGCGGGGGTGAGGGGCGAAAGCAGTACGCGACTGCGGCCCCGGCAGCGCACGTGAGGGCGTCCGGCCGCCAGCGCCCCGGGTCCAGGGCCCGCGCGCCAGTGGGTCCCACCAGCCCCGCCGCCGACCCCCACTATTCTGAGGCGGCTGGTCAGGCCGCAGCCCCGCGCCGGGCTGAGGGGCGATCCCTCGTCGCTGCCCCCTCAGCGCCCCGTTCCAGGCCCAGGGGTCCGCCCAGTCACCTACCGGCCGAGCGCCGATCTCCCCAAGCAGCGAGTGTTGCGCTCCCCTCGCCCTCGATCTCCCGCTGCCGGTGGCAGGCGGCGGCGCTCGGGGCCACGGT